ATTCAACCTGTCCTGGTTTCATTTTGTGATAGGGTGTCTGTGTGCGGCCCAGTGAGTGTTGGCTCAGTGGGAGTTGTGGAAAAGCTGAGAAGGATATACTGTGTTTTTTAGCTCTGCAGCTTTCTTTCCTCAGGTGAGCGCGCCTGAGTGTGAGGTCACACAAGCGCTCGGTACATGTTTGCTCAGTAATCTCCGGCTGAACCTGTCTGATAGGTGTGGGCTGGCTGGCACTGACTTGCGTAGGTATGAGGAGAGATCCAGCACAGTCCTGAGAGAGGAGGGAAACTGCAGCACTTCTGTGACACACACTGTTGGACTTTCTCACAAAAATTACAAGGAGAACTCACACAAACTTCAGCGAAAAGAAAAAGAGCGAGGAAACTGTGGGAACGAGGAAAAGCTGTGGTGGATAACAAACGGAGAGAAGAAGGTCCTCAGAATGTGAATCAACCTGGAGGAGATTCTTCTTCTGCGGTTCGACAAATGGGTCTGGGATTCTAATGTGGCATTTCAAGCTCTGGGATGTACAAGATGTTGCTGTGTTTCTCAGCATCACATTATATATGTGTCACCTCGGTAAGCTCTGCCGCACACGTCTCATTTTGTCTTTCTCCATGTATTGTACTGTGGCGTTTGACGGCTGGCCAGCAGGACAATCCTATATTTGTTCAGCACTAAATACATAGCATCAGGGTGCAGCTCTTTCTATAGAAACTAACAGTAAAAACCTGGCGGGATTCTAAACAGGGAGGTGAAACTCACAACATTTTCTGAGATTCTTTGAATTAACTTGCTCAACTCGTAGATCAGCACAGTCCTGTTCTGTACACACTGCTGTGCATTTCACCGTGTAACCATCAGATTGTCCTGAAGTGTACCCAAGTTCTCAGTACATTAAAGCTGAATTCAGTTGCACAAAAAATGGAATTAAAACTGTGCAGAAAAATTACAGCATGTCCTGATCTGATGTGATTTGCTTTGATTGAGTCACAAATTGAGTCATGAACCTGAAAGGCTTTAAAGAACATTTATTTAATCTATTCTTTTGCGCAAAAACAATGTAAGTATTTGTAAAGGCTTATTGCTTCATCATCATTTTAAGTTGACGAGCAGGTAGGAACTGTTCCCACACTGCCTCGTTTCTTAGTCAGCGCAGGTATTCTCATGTGGAATTCTTTACCTGTGCTTCATTAAGCAAACATAGCACCAGCAGAACCAGATCCCCCGCTGACACCTGCGTGAAAACATTTAACGAGGGGTGGCCAAAACAGCCCTGAGACCAAAACTTCTGCAAATTGTCACTTCTCATCTTGCTCGACTAGTTTCAGGTTGTAATTTGACAGAGAAGCCAGCAGAGTAACTCATTTCTGGCTCTACGTGGCATTTGAGGCAAATGAGTCACAGCGATTGTCAGCAGCCAACTGTGTCATGGTGAAATATTTTCCTTTTATGGCTCTGTTTTGTGTCATGTGCTGACATATTTCTGCTCCACTTACATCTGCATGAAGGTTGAACAGTAACCAAAGGTAGAGGTGTTTGTCATGCAGTGTTTCTGTGCCTCCTAAACTTATACATCACATCACATTAATGCTCCATTCTTATCTATTCACATCTAAACATACAATCTCTGGCCTCATGTATTTATCTGTTTACAAATCTTTTTGTGTGTGTTCTTTTATCTTTTATCAGCAAAGGTACAAAATCTTGATCAACATGAAGTAACCAACAAAAATCACGTGCAATATGTCACTTTCATGTACAAAACTGTCAACGTAATGTGAAATATTTCATTTTTATCTCAGTATAATTGCCAGCTTTATTTTTTACTGTTCTTTTCCAGCCTTAGTTTAGCCTATTTATTGTGTTTCACTGACGTATCGTACTTATGTCTTATTGTTATGTTGGCACTGCGTTTCTTATGTCTTTTTGTTTTTTTGAGTAAAATAAGATAAGACAATTCTTTATTAAACCTCATGGGGGAAATTCAGGAATTCAGGAAAATCTGACACAAGAATTTCTTTTGGGAGCAACAAAGGTTTATCTTATCTTTTCTCTTTTCTTATCTTGTTTTATCTTTATCTTATCTTATCATTCTTAAAAGAAACCAAAACAACATTAAACAGGACCACCAAGGACAGCAGCAGAAGGTTATACTCTAACATGATTATACAACGCTCAGAGAACAAAGCAGAACTTACAGAGAACCAAAAGAAACTAACTGATAAATTAAAAAGTAACTAAAAAGGCAGCTCAAATAAATCTACAGGTGACTCAGAGACAAACGAGAGCGGCGCAAAGAAGAATAAAAAAACAAATCCTTGAAGAAAGACAGAACCAGAACCAGCAGCAAACAGTAAATTCATTCAAAACAAAAAAGCCTATTTCATTATTAACATCCATTTTAATGAACGTTTTTCTCTCAACAAAGGCTCTTCTGAAGTTTTCATGTCTTTTAATGCTCTTTGCTGGTTAAAGTCTGTATCTTCACATCTCTTTATGCTTCTTCTTTGTCAGCCGGAGCCATCTCCATCGTTTCTCCTCAGAGGAGCCTCACCAGGTCAGTGCAGGAGGATGTGTTCTTCTCACTGGATGTAACTTGCAATGGGATCCCCACCATACAATGGACCTTTATGTCAGGAGCGGTGAGCCGGACTATAGGGACTTGGCAGCCGGGGGTTTACACCAACATAACGGTGGATTACAGCAGCAGAGTGCAATCCTACGACAACGGTTCTATGGGCCTGTCGGACCTGCGGCTGCAGGACGCTGGATACTACGTGGTCACTGTCACAGAGGCAACAGGAAGCAGCAAGGACGCTGGGTTTGTCCTGAAAGTCAACGGTGAGTGGATCTGGCCTCCATACAGCTCACATAGAGAGACAGAATTTGGAAAAGCTCATTTAGCCAAACTGGAATCATCTTCTCTTCCATTAGAGTCACTGAGGAACAGCCAAGAAGCATAGCTTTAAGGGAATTAAAAGCACTTGCTTCATACCTGTTGCCTAATTCAAGCAGCAGCAAATCAGCCTGGAAAAAAAAAAACAACAAAAAAAGAAAAAAGCAGACAGCAAGAGCAAGACACAAAAATTCCTTGACATGATTTAACAAGCAAAGATGGTCCAAACTGAGGGATGAAATAAAACCCAGAGTCTTAAGTTTCACAGAGTCTGTGTGAGAGTGTGGTAACAGTTGTGTTAGGATGTCAGGAGCCCTGCCCAGGTTTCCCAAACAGGCAGACTCATGACTGTTGATAAAAGTGGGCAGGACAGTGTGACAAAGAAAACAGTCGAGCAAGAGGAACTCACTGACACTGCATGTTGTTAAAGAGTGTTAATAACAGGAATCTTATTTAGTGTGCGAGTGCAAGCTAGTGAGGAGTGGTGAAAGAAAAAAAAGGAAGGTTGGGTGAAAATAGACAACAAACAGGAATGGAGATGATGAGATATAGTTTGATAGATTTGATTATGTGAAAATGCAGGATGGATAAAATGAGGCATGTGGAAAATATAAAGTCTGATGATGAAAACTGAATATCTCCAAGGCAACAAATAAAATATCTATCTATCAGTCTATCTATCTATCTATCTATCTATCTATCTATCTATCTATCTATCTATCTATCTATGAGGAAAAAGCTGTAAGTTTGCATCGATTTTTTCAGGAAGAGTTGCAGAAGCTTGCGTTGCTGTTAATAGGGATCCTAATAAAGACTGAAAGAAAAGTGACAAAGCACCAGAGTGCCCTTGAGCAACACTGCTGTAGTCGCGCTACAGGTCAGACAGGTCAGACTAACTTCCCTCAACAAAATAAGGTTCAATTTCAGCCAAAACACTTGTGATTGACACACAGTACTGGTACCTGTGAAGGATGTGAAAGTCTGGAATGACCGAAGCTATTCATCAGTCACATCCCTGACAGACAACCTGATCGGGGATTCTGGTGTTTAGAGGACGTTGTCTGAAGTGAATCTGTGTTCGTGTCTTCCAGAGGTTCTGTATGAGGATCTTCAGTACCTGTCTGTCTCTGCGCTCGCTCTGGCCTGTTTGGCTGGACTCCTCATGCTGGCCATGTGGCTGCTGGACAAGGCCTACAGGAGGATAGTGGCCTGGAGGCGCAGGAGACAGATGCCAGGTAAAGCAACAACAAGTCTCTGTCTTTAAAGCACATTCATGGTATCGAACGCCTTTTAAGTCACACAAGACAAGCTTCATAATTTACTACAGTAGCTCATTGACAGTGCAAAAAGTTAACTCATGCAGGTGCAGCTACTTTTTGAGATGATTGATATTTCAAAAAGTGTATTCAGGCGGTTTGTTTGCACTGGAGTTCATGGTTTACTCAGGTTCTTTCTAACCGCTGTGTCACTGAGTGAGACGTCTGCATGTGGCTTGTTGGGCGTGAATGTGGGCTGATGTTATCTATTGTATCTAAATAAAGGCGTGTTTCAGTACAAAGGTCTGTGACGTTCTATTGTGGCTTCGTTACAGGAGCGCGTTGTGTCGATGCCGGTTTCTGTATTGACGGTTTTAATCTTCCCCAGAAAACGACACGACGGAGCTGCAGCCTCTCGACCGACATCAGTCTGAGCCCCGGCATGAAAACACACCCGAGGCTGCTCCGAGCTGAAACACAAGGACCCGTTTATAGAGCTGAGATGTAAATAAATTAACTGTATCACTGTTTAAATTCAAGCTCGATCAGCGGAGGCGGATTGTTAATTATGAAAAGCATGTTTACATTTTCTACTGAATCCACGTGCATCTCCAGCCCACTGCGGAGGACTGGAGTGAACGTGAATACATCTGAGATGACACTGGAACACAATACATAATGTATTTATTGTCTATCAAATGGAGTTTGTCTTTTTCTTTTTCATGTCTGTACTTTCAACCTGTGAGCCGACGGAGGTTAAATTTAGGGCTTATTTATTTAGAAAACTAGAGGGTCAGATTAAAAGTTTGCAAAATGCGGCTGCTCCAAACCAAAAATCCAGAAACTCGTTCCTCTCTGTAAATTCATTGCTTTATTCTTAAGAGCAAAATATTCATCGGCACAAATACGTACGAACTGAGAGGCGTTGCTTTCTATTTTGTATCAAACTGTTGGAGGTAAACACACACTACACATCTTCAAAAACAGAGCAGGCAGCAGATACTACGATGTGTGGAAATGAGCTTATAGCAGTCAGTGAGCTGGATTATAAAAACCAGTGGAAGAAGGAGAGACATGTTTTTACAAGTAGGACTGTATCATTGCAAATCTGAGGTTTCTGTGGAGTCTGTGTGAGAGCTGTTGGCTGTCCAGTTCAGAGGAGAGTCAGGTTGTATCTAAGGACACGGAGTCAGCGCAGCCATGAGGAGCTCCATCTTGTAAACGAAGTTGCGTCCCTCCATCTTGCTCCAGTGGACCTCTTTGTACGGCCCTCTGAGGTGGCTCCACTTGGCGTCCTGGATGATGTCGCTCTTCGGCAGCTCTTTGGTCTGGCTGCGAGGGAACTGGACCAAAACTTTACAGCCGCTCTCCGGGCCGTTACGCACTGAAAAGAAACACACACGTTATTAATCTCTCATATTAACACATCCGTATTTCACTTGTATTAACTGAAGGTTCTGAGGATGTTCAGTATTTGTCAGGTGGCCTCAGGATAACAGTTTATGAAGCTGACATGATGCATTCCAGGAATGATTTTGTGGTGATGCCTCTTAATGATCCCTCAGCTTGTATCAGCTTGTTTCTGTGATTTCCTGCTTCTTTCTAAACTGACTGGGAGACTGTTGTATTGCTGTAGCTCTGTTGCCAGTAGGAATACCAGAGAACGTCTGTTAACACACAATTCATCAGGTCTTATCTCTGCTTCTGGCCTATACGGGATAATCTCAGTAGTGAAATTAGTTTTATTGCTTGTCGTCGGCGTGTCTGATGGTGACCCAGGACTGTAATGACAATATAATGATTGAGCTTGTTTACCCGGATGTCTGGTAATTTATTGAGTGGACTAACAGCTCTGTCATCACAGTGGGGGGTTCAGCCTCTTTTTATAGCCGTCTGAGAGAACAGGTGGGGCTGTGTCTCATTTTTACATTTATTTTATCTCATACTTCGTTATTTTTACAGCGTGATTGCCTTAATTTTATATTCAGCAGCAAAAAGAAACATGAAGCATAATGCCCCTCGTCAAGAATCCAACTCGAGGAACGTATGTGGTCTTAAGAATCAGACCACAGACTATGAGTCAATCCAGCTGTTTACACAGGTTCTTTGCTTACACTACACACCTGTAAAGGTGAGGTGTGTGTAGTGAGTTTCTTATACGATCATCTATTTTCCTGTGATACTGGGTTTTGCCAAAACACAGATGTTCCACAGCTCAGTACTCTGCCTGGTAGAGCTGCAGCGTTGACTAGTCGATTGGTTGGTGGCAATCTTAAAAAGCATGGACAGGTTTTAATCCATGACTGTTGGCTGAGGGAGGAACACACCCACATTCTCACAGCTTTGAACTCTCCCAACCTAACGTAGACTGCTCCAACACATTTAACTGAACGGTTACTCCGAGTCGACTACAAACTAACTGATGTCTAGTCAGTGCGGCAGCATTTTAGCCAAAAAGTCAAGTGGAAGCTTTGCAGACAGTAATTTGTGTATCACAGCTCAACAACCAACATGTCCGGTTATGTAAAAACATTCACCAACTTGTCTGTGTGATATTTTTCAGTAGCTCTTGTGCTGCATTACCAGCTGATGCATTTTCACAAATCATGTGAATCCCAGTCTGCTCTAATCACTTTAGTGGAAAATAACCAGGTTACAATGTTTTAATATGCAGCAAATACTATCTTCTGTGTTAATTTAAAATTCATTTCGGTTAATCAGGCTAGCAAGTAGCGTGAACTCAGTGCACTGTGGAACATTCAGTTCATCTACAGATTTCTTTTTTTCCCCACAATCAATCAATCATGAATCAATCCACCCCAACAGCAGCAATAAAACTTTACAAATACCTGAATTTTAACCCATTTATTATTTATCAGGTTTACATTGCTGCCATGGTGGCAGCATATAAATAGAATAATATAAAAACACACACTGGGGCTCAATCAGGATCATAACCTCAGAACCTGCCTCACCTGAGATGGCGTATTCTCCATTGGGAGAAGCAACAGTGACGGCGGAGGCGTTTCCGATGCTCTCCACTGGGCCCAGACCCACATGGTTGCTGAAGCTCAGGACGTGCCAGCCCATTACTTTAGCCAGCTGCTGAACTGCATGAACCTGATGCTGTGACATCTGTAACAAGGGGGAAGGGATACACGTGACTTAAAAACGTGACACCCAGACTTGCAAACAGAAGCTGTGCACCTATAACCAGTGAGGAAAACTTGTAGCTGACATGATGTTTTGAGCTCAGCTGAGCCGTCGTACAAGCTGCTTCCAAGAAACCCAGTCTGTGTGAAAGTTGACTATGTTGGAAGTTAGCTGTGGTACCTGCGAGAGGAGAAAGTCCTGCAGCTCCTGCTCCTGGTGTGACAGTGTGATGACGCGTCCGTCTCTGTGAACCACCCTGATTTGCTCGACGCCGATGTTCAGCTGCAGCTGGATGGATCTAAACACACAAAAACATGTGAAGCCTTATCTGAGAGTGTCCATGAGCCAGGCATTAAAGACATCATGAGTCCTTCTCCCTCCTGCACTTACTTGCAGATCTGCTCGTAGCCCTGCGAGGTGATGAGCACCTTGACACTGGACTCGTACACATCGTTGATGTTGGACCAGTGAGCCTGAATCTGAGGATCCTCGATCCGGCTGGCCAAGCTGTCGATGGTCCGCGCCGTCCTGGTCACCACAAAGACAAACACTGTGATGCCCACTGCGATTCCTTCATAAAGCACCTGATAACGGTTCTATTTCTAGATTAATTTCTCTGACATCAAACTGCAAAGACTGTTGCTGGTATCAACCATATGAATTAAGTTACCTGCTACGTAGGAAGATGTGTTTGGCCTGTTTGATGATCTTCTCCAGCAGCCCCTCACTCTGCTGTAAGTTGGAGATTTCAGTCTTGTCGTAGGCCAGCGGTCCTGCTAGACGCAGGCGTTTGTGGCCAAAGGGGGCGCTGGCAGGATGTGGCATCACCACAGAGCTCAGCTGCTGCTTGTGGAACTAAGAAAGAAACAAGGTGGTTCAACGTAATGACCATTTGATTTGCTTGAAACTTTTCTTGTGAAATGGTACCTGTGACATTCTAAGTTATTATATATTAAGTACTTTCTGAGATTTTTCTTTTTTAAATTGCTGACTGACTCACTTTCCGCTCATTTTTTCACACTTTAAAATCGAGTCTTTATTTAAAAAACAATATCTTAGGAACTACTAAAGAAAAAAGTCTAGAATTTTCAGCTATTTCTCGTCACGATATTGATACAGAATCTGCAATACTGGACAAGCAGATCAACTAATCTCTGATCATGGGTGAGCTGAAATAAAAAAAAATTAAGCCATCATGAAATCTTTGAGCTCTTATTAAGAAAAAAATGTAAAATGCAAAAGTCAACGAGGGATATTTTCTGCATGTCACAATAGAACAAAACAAAAGAAAAATACTTAGAAAGTTATTTTTTGCTAAACTTTTAAGACAAATTGTGCCAAAATGTTATAGAAAATTTCACAAACATCTTTGTAAATATCCATATTTTATGTTGTGAAAATGTCAGGCTAATCAGAGATGGCAGAGCAGAAACTGTTCCAGACGAGATGTAAAATGTCGTCACATCTCACCTCCCTCATCATTTGGTGCAGATTGTGTTCCAGTACGTAAAGGTGGTTGTCCGGTTTGGACTTCTCTGGAGACGCCCGGTTGTTCTTCTTCTCTCCGGTAGAGTGGCACAGCGAGATTGAAAGCTGCAGACCTTTAAAAGGGAATCACAGAAAGGTCTGAGTGTGTTTGCTGAATCCGGAGCCACAGAGATGATTAAAAAACAACAAAAAAAAAAGCAGGAATGTTTGAGTTACAATGTTTGATCAGTGAACAAAGCCCTACCCTTTTAGAGAAAAACTCTAATGTAAACATGAATATTTGCCCCTGGAGAGAAACTGAACTTTGGATGAACTCCTGGTGTAAAAAGTCTCTTCACGTACAGTAAAGGAGTCAGAAAGCTCCAACCTGACACAGGCAGACTGTCACTTTAATGTTAAACGTGCAACAAATAGAGAACCTTTTTGCTTCCCGTTTCGATGTTGCAACGAGAGTTCTGACCTGGGAACGGCTGAGAGATGATCTGGTTCTTCACAACAATATGAGGAATCTGGGATTTAATCTGAACAGCCTCTCTGGACAGCTGGGCAAAGATCTCCTTACAGAGCAAAACGTTCTGAGCCGCCTCGAGCTTCACGTGCCACGGCTGCGTGCCTGAGCAGAGAGGAAGGAAAAGAAACAAGAACTAAATATCACTGAATCTAAATAAACAAATTCAGAGCCACTTTTAAACATTTAAAATGCAATTCCATGTTTGTGTGTGCTGAAACATACTGCTCTTGTTCTTTTGCGGTCTCCTGAACAGGTTGACGGTTCCCAGGTCACCGATGTCGGGGGCTTGTTTCTGGATGGACACCTGAAGACAAAAACATACTGAAGTGTTACGGCTACAGATTTCTGAAATCATCTAAAATAAATGAATGAATGCAGTATGGAAAGTATAAAAAAATATATTAAGAAAAGAACTACACAGGTAAGCAGAGTCCACAAAATAATTTGTGAATCTAATAATCATCATTTCCTTTCATTTATTTTCTTCACATTTCACCTGTAAAACTCAAATCAACCCAAACGCGTTTTCAACTCTATTTTAATAGAAAATAGCATTACGGAGACGTTATTCCCCTCTGACCTTGATATAAGCTGATCCCTCCAAGTCACTGGGGATCTGGACATCCAGGGGGCAGTAGTCCTCCGGGATCTTCTTGTCTAGATCGATGTCAGTGTTTTTGATCACCTCAAATGTGCCATGATGAGGAAAAAGGGAACCTGCATGGATAAATAAAAAAGCAGAGTTAGTTAGTTTGTAGAACACATCAGTGCGACAGATTTGTCTGAGTGACAGGACTGATCACCTGCACTCCGGTAGCTGAGGTCTCCCAGGATCTTGTCTCCGACTTTGCGTAGCTTCCACTGTGATCGGAGTCGCAGCAGCTCAGAGTTGAAGTCTCGCTGCCTCCTGTTCTCCTGGTTCTCTGCGACTGACTTGCTGAGCTTCTCTGCTCCCTTCATGAGGAGCTGCGCTGCTGTACCCAGTGATTTCTTCTTACTGATCAGCTGGAACACCTGAGGCGTCTGCAGACGGTCGACAGGATGTTTTTGTTTTTCTTTTTACAAATAGACATTGGGTACCAGTAAATGTGCAAGTAAAACAATGAGTGGGTGCACAGACGTCTTTGAGTAATGTAAGTAATTTGCACACTTGCATATTATCCAGTGTTTCCCCTCCTGTAGATGTTTAGTAATGGCAGTGATGGGGATATGCTGCGGTAGGTTACCTTGCCAGCTGTTGGATCCTGAGACACTGGATCTAAAGCCATGTACTTCTTCTCCTTCACCACACTGAGCACATCATAAAGAACACACATCTCTGTCAGGGCACTGCGAAGGTTGTTACGCACTGAGTCCCAGGGCCAAAGAGAAGGCTGAAACTTCACTGTACCTGTTTAAAAACCAAACAACCAAACACTAATTAGATTTCATTCTGATGGAGAAAACAGAATCAATACGACTCAGTTGTATTATTCTGTGCTCCTGTCTTGTGGCAACTGCAGCATTCGTTCTTGATAAAAATAAGTTGTTACAGAAAGGAGTGAAAGTAGTAAATGTGAACTGTAGCGTCTTTAATTTTCCCGATAAACTTCAGAGTACTTCGTTTTTCTGGCTTCTACCTTTTAAAATCATTTACATTTTCAACCTTATATGTCACCTTAAGCAGTAAAATAAATAAATAAAAATCAGGAAATATAAACAGTTAATTGGGGTAAACTTGTGCAACTTCTTTGTTATTTATTATTAACTAGGATTAGTAAATAAAATGAATGCAAGTATACTGTAAAAAAAAAAAAAAAAAAAACATCTGAATAACCGGTTGAATTAATGCAAGTTAACTTTTTAAATAGGATGTGCAACTTTTTAGTGATTTTAAAAATAATATTGCCTAAAATTGTCTTCAAGGATTTTTGCCTCCTACAATACATTTCTTAAAATTTCAAGTCCAGAAATGTATTGACCTGAAGGAACCTTGACAGAGAAAGTTCAGCTTCACATGTAACACTGACATGTGCTGTGCAGCAATCTGACTGCTTTAACTATGATTGTAGCTGGTGTCCATCAAGTTAATGGAATCTAGCTCAGCCTCTAACACATACGTTACCTTCTTCTTCTTCTTGCTCCTGCTTCCCCCACTCTCGGTCCCTGGGTTCCCCCTCGACACCTTCCTCCTCTGAGTCGGATCCCTGGCTGAAGTCAATCCTTTGCGCCAACTTTGATAAATTCTGGGACATGGACAGAGGAGGGACGTATGTCTCTGTCCCATCCAGGGCCACTTCCTGCACCTGCTTCTCGCAGGAAGACTCGATGCTGACCCGCACAGCTGGACCACCAGACATGATGATGCACCTGAGGGCAGAAGGACAAGCAGAGAGATTCAGTCATCAAGCTGTCTGAGATAGAGGCCAGCATAAAGCAGGTCAGCTAAGTGGCACTCTGCAAACCTGAACTTACTACTCTGACATCTATTAAAGTCAGTTTAATAAGAGTAAGTGAAATATAGATTCACTTCATAAGATGATTAAGATGAAAAAGAAAACAAAACCAACACTTAAACTGTCATGTTCAGTTGAGTGTTTCGCAGAACACCGACACTGTAAAAGTACTGCAATACCACATTGTTAAAAATGATGCTAAGTACAATTTTGCTGATACCAATACCAGCAGTGTTGACTGACATCTAAGTGCGACAGCAGAGTAGTGATCCGCTACCTTTCCCTGCCAGCATGGTGGATGCACCAAGTGCTTCTTTCTCTCTGGAAGCTTTCATAGAAATCCAAGCACCGATGCCAACTGTGCACAGCTTGTGGACACGGCAAAGGCAAAGCGAAATATTTAATTATGCTGCTGCCCTGTGATACCTGGTGACCTGTCCACAGTGTCCCCTGCCTTCACCCTGACTCGGCTGGGATAGGCTCCAGCCCCCCTGTGACCCTAGTGAGGATTAAGCAGTGTATAGATGATGGATGGATGGATCTTGCTGACAGACGTGTCACTTTGTTCAAGGATTCACAGAGCAGCAACTTAGTGAATGTGATAGATAATATAAGTACAATATGCCCGCAAATATAATTCAGACAAGTGTGATTCGTTTTGTAACAAACATTTTTCACCATTGTGCTAATTAGAGAAATGATGAATGTTGAACTTGACTTTATCTTTATGGCTAATTCACCAATGTGGCATACACAGCTTTCACACTGGTACACTTCACCATAATTACCAAGCTGCTAAATATCAGCTGTTCACAAGTACACAAATAAACAACACCAGTGATACTAGATCAACTAAAGTCTCACTTATCTCTGCAAGGATGCCATCATTTATAACAAGTAGAGACCTGAACATGTAAAGAGGTGGCCAAGTCCCTCCAGTTTTAGTTGGGCATTAAAAACACACTGTGGTTCAATATTTCATTTATGTCGCTTTGTGGCTTATTTTCACTACCTCCACTGCCCTGCTATGACTTTGTAAAATGCTTTCAGATTTTGTTCTTTTCATTAAATAATAATAAAAAAAAGTTCCACGTTTTGTCGTCTGGTATTTTAATACTTCTCCTGATGTTTTATGTTTATGTCGTGGTATCTTTTCAGTATAATATCGAAGTCAGAATTCTGATATCGTGACACTTCCAGTCCAGTCATGTAGTTTGTTTTTATGATAATACAGCCATTTAGGACTTTTGGTGACCTACTGTTTAATATGCTAGATGAAATGACTTGTCTTTCACACATTAAGTTATTTTCTACATTCAACGACGGCTGCATTGAATCGTGTATTGCTGCGTCTAGCTAGCGGTACTAGCGAGCGTTAGCCTAATGCTAAACTTACTGGATAAATGAAAAACTCCCGAGCGCGAAAGTGCAGTTTAAGTGGCAGCATAACACTTTATCAGTGTAAGTCTTACCTGTTGAATTCACTAGAGTCACGAATATAAACAGTTATTCCGTGGAGCTGTGTTATATTTTCAGTAGCGCTGTGAATGGCTCATTCTTAGCTCTCAACACAGGAAACAGCGCAGCTACGCTATCGTCCCCCGGTGTGATGCTAACGGACTCTGGGGCTGATTTCAGCGTTAAGCTTTTCGTTGTTTTTTCCTTAGTGTCGATTTTAACTTTTAGATTCTGTTATTAATTTTCAATTTTATGTAAATTTAGTAGGAAAAAAATAGTAACGTAAATATTGTGCGTAGGAACCAAAGTGATGTATGGTAGGAACCAAAGTATCCGCAGCAGGGACGGATGCGGCGGGATATTTAAACCACCGGATGTGACGTTTAAGACAAAACCCGTCCGTTTTTTTTCAGGTTGGCATGGGTTTCAGGTGATAAACAAAACTTTTACGGTTCATTGCCTTTCCCTTCGGCGCATTTTCCGTCTTCTGTGTTACTGAACATATGTTTGTTTAGCGATTAAGATGTAACTTTAAAATGCGTCACTCGCTGGGCGCCTGTAGCAACGTGAAGCTAGCTCACATTAGCCTTCAGCGCTAACGGTGCTGCTGCCTTTTGGGAAATGCTCACGAGTTTATTTGAAGAAAATGAAGGGAAAAGTGTCCAAACTAAGACTGAGCCCCAACGAAGAAGCTCGGATAATACGAGAGGACTACGAAAGGAGGAGAAAACTGCGAATACAGCAGGTAGGATCAACGTGACTTCTGATTCACAGACTGCTTCCTTCACCTGAGGGATTTTCTCATTAAGCCCGTTCTAATCTAGGCTTGCTGTCAGGGGATTGTGTCTGATAAATAATGCTTAAATGAGTCTGATCTGGTATGGTCAAGCCAGGTTTTAGGATCAGCAGCTCAGTCCATCATTTCTTTCAAGTTTGTACCCAACACAATCTGTAACAGGAACCATGAGTTGCGTGTTGTTGTGATTGTTTTGTTAATGTTGTTCTGTTCTATATGTCTATTTCACCACCTTTCCTCCCAGCTGTCCATCTCATTTACCCATGAAAGTCAATTAAGTGAGCTAATGGGAGAGTTCATAAAGGCTATTGGTCTGAGCTCATTGTTGATCAACAACAAAATTCTTTCTTGGTTCAGTTAGTTTCACTCATGACACAGTTTTTAAAATAAGGCTTGCTTTTTTGAGCCATCTTTCTGGAAAACAAAACAACAACAAAAAAGACACCTGTTCCTGAAAGTTTTCAAGCTCAGTTGATATTTTAAGACTGAATGTGCACATATATCTTCCCCTGACATCCAGGTACGGGAGCAGCAGCGGCACATTGCACAGCAGATGCGCCAAAATGTCGAGCAGAGGCGGCAGCATGAACTGAAACAGCTGGAGGATGAGCTGAGGCTGGAGTGGGAGCGACAGCAGAGAGAGAAACTCCATAAACTGCAGACATTATATCAAGAGAGCCTCCAGCTTATCGGTCAGGGGCATCGGAGTGCAAAGGAGAATGTAAGATAAGGCTGTTGTAAAACAAGAAGAAATCTGCTGTACCTTTTCTTCAATAGTTTGTGTGTTTTTGTAAAATGAAGAGCTTGCTCCTGTTGATGAAGCTGTACCAGCCTTTGGGACATTTTGGTTACCCTTGAAGTACTTTCTCGGTACAAACAAGCTATAAGATGAAATCTGAGTGACTGAGATTTAAAAAGGCCAAAATAAGGAGAATATGTCAAAACAGCATGTGAACAAAACCACATGATTGTATTCATACGTGAAAGTGAATAAAGTGGTCAAATCTGATTTTCTTGTGTAAGGAACCCGACCTGGCAGCCATCGCTCAGAGGGAGGAGGAAAATCACACCAAAGCAGAGGAGCGTTACCGAGAAGCCCTGAAGGAGCTTAAATCCCAGAGGCTTAAAAACCACGAGAGGCAAAACCAGTGAGCAGCAGCACAAACACAAGCTTTAAAGATGTTTAAATTTCATCAGAACTGACTGAACTTTACTCCTTGGCCTGTCTATAGATCCATCAATGCCAGGAAGAAGGCACTGCAGGCAGAAAAAGAAAGATCTGCAAAAGTGTCCAGCCTCCCACCACCTCCCCCAAACCCCATTCAGGTGGGTTACCTGAACAGTAATGTTAATTATGCTATTTTTAGATTGACCTAACAAGCCACATTATAGTTATTGATGAAAATTAACCTGATAAATTGTCATAAAGGTGTCACAGAGATAAGTTTTGTTTGAGTTGCTCAGGACTCAGTATGTGCATTTATGATTTGACACTCCATCTGTACTCAAACTAGGAGGCACCTTTATGAAGCAATATTCATACCTGATTTTACATTTTGTTACAATGATCTGAGTCTTTTGTCTTTTTATTTTAACCCGACTCAATGGAGATTTCACTTCTTTAGACAAACCGGACTGAGCGTTACATCATCAGTTGACTTGATTGAATCCTATTTACGAAATAAAACCCAAGTTCTCCAAGTTGCACAGTTCAGTTTTATGCGTACAGTCACAGTAACATTTTTTTTTCTTGTTTGAGCAGAATATCAATCCCAAGAAGCCACATGTAGTAAAGAGATCTGACGTGAGCGCCTTCGCTGCCACACATTACCACATGCCAGACAGTGCAGTGGACAGAGAGGTGGACACAGAACAGGTACATCTTCTGATTGTCGTTCACATCCAACCCTGTGGTCGGTTAGCCCTCCTCTAATCTGTAGATGTGTCTGCAGCCGAATGCCCATGAAGAAGCTGAGCTGGAGGTGAAGAGACTGCACGACTTACAGAGGGAGGAAAAGAGGAAGCGGGAGGAGCAGCTGGAGAAGGCTCGACTCAGGGGCAGGGAGGCTCTGAGGAGGGAACAGCTTGTGCAGGTACAACCGAGCTTTTACCTGATGAACAGATGAGTTGTTTTATGTATATCTGATAGAGATTTGATCAGATTTTTGTTACTGTAAATGTTGACTGACAGCAGGACAACAGCAGTGAGTCATTCAAAACTCTAGAGCAGGACAAGGAGTTACCACAAGGCTGAAAAGAGTTCTCTCAGACATATTTAATCTTCTCGTATCAGAATGCTAATGTGTCATGCTCCCTGTAAAAGGTTTTAGAAGATTATATCAAGTGCAGCTTTTCATGCCTGATCTGTTTTGAATCCTGCAGGATCGTGAGCGTCTGCTGGTCGAACTGGAACACATGCAGCAGACAGACCTGCTGCGGAGGAGACAGCAGGTGTCACAGATGCCTCCTCAGATCTTCCAGCCTCTCTACAAGAGGCAGGAGATGAGGGAGGACTTCCAGAGGGAGATGGAGTTTGCCTTTGAGGACATGTACACCGGAGAGAGGAGTAAGGATTGTCCTGCAGTGTTTCCCTGTGAATGTGTCACTGATTTTCAATACGTTGCTTGAAATCGGGCAGATAATTTTAAAGCAGCTGGAAGATGACTTTATGTTTCTCAGACCTGTATTGTATTGAGCTTTATCTGTGTTGAGTTTTAGTGGAGTTTCTTTAACTCTGGACTGTTTGATTTCAGGGGTTAAAGGTGACCTGGTGGTCCGGCTGGTGCCTGAACCTCTTCCAGCTCCGTCTACAGGCAGCCAGGACCAGGAGCTGGATGTTACGCTGGATGAAACAACCACAGCTGAAACAGAAAATACGCAACATGACACTGAGCAAGACGTTGGAAGCACCGAGCAGGAAACATCTGCTGAAGGTGAACAGAAACACCAGACTAAAACCTAAATTAATTAGGTCAACTTTGCACAATACCAATACACAGATATTAGTTTACTGTAGTTGATTGTATGAACTATGTAAATTCTTTAGTGCCAATGTCTTGGTGTGATTTCCTCGAAGCTCCAACTAAGCCAGATATACATTCAGCGTATTTCATTACTTGCAGTGGAGCCGTCCAGACCTGCTCCTCGACGGGCGTTGAAGAAGCTCCTGGATCGCATCAGGAGTCAGAGGAACCAGTGGACCAACAGCAGCACAGTCCCCATCGCTGATTCACCGACCGACATCTCAGACCAGATCCCAGAGAGAGACACATCCATCGAAACAGGATCTCTGACCGCCGAGGAGAGACACAAACCTACGGAGCCCCGTGAGCCTGTCCTCGCTCCACCAGGTAATTCAATCACTGTCCTCAGCTGTAAAAATATTCATCTCAATGAAGTTGAATATTTGATGATTATTTGTTTCTTTTCCTTGCTTTCATTGTCTTTTAATCATTAATCTTCTATTATTACAAACTGGTGACTATTTCTGTTTTGTTTTCCACATTTACACCCCTTTTGTGAACGTGTTTAAATGTTTGTTGGAGGATAATAATTCTGCGTTTTCGTTTTGTCAGCTGCAGCAGATACTTCACTTCCTGATGCTTTGGCCGACAGAATCCAAGAATTTGAAGAAGAACGAAAGAAAAGGGTACATGCTGATTCTCATGTATATGATGAAGGATTTTTGCACTGTTTGCTAAATTGTAGACATACAGAAAACAAACATTAAATGTCTGTTATTCACCTTGTCAGCTTGTTAAACTGTAAGTTATTGTCTTAATTACTTTATTGGTTGTGAAGCCACAGACATTATCAGTTGACTGTTTTCATGTATTTCTTCTCATTGAATTATTATAAGCAGTTGATAATTAAGCTTTATGCTTTAACAGCACTGATTCCATACATCAGTCTCACGTGAAGCTGACAGCCATGAAGGTGCAGCATTAACACATGATGAGCACTTGATTAAAGACTTCCATGTAGGATACGCCAGTGTTCACTCACACTACGCTGCTCCAGAAGCCTCCTTGTCTCCGTAAGGTGCATTTAAGTAATTGAAAGATCCTCCATGACGGGGAATACTTTCTGATTCACGGGAGGATGTGAGGAAGCATAATGAAAAGCTTCCATTGCATTAACTGTAAAACCCGGGCTGCGTGCCAATATCCATACTGTGTAAAACACCAGAATGTCCCAATACACAGGATGTCAGATGTCTTATTCCAAAGACACCCGCCAACATAAACAAGCTTGAGCCGCCGACAGACAGATGACAGCTCATTTCACTTTACAGACGGTCAAAGTTAAGACGTAATATTATGACAAGGGAGTCCTAATCCAATCATACGAGGGTAACTGTTGTAGATACTTAAAGTAAAAAGAACAAATATGTGTTTTTTTTCTGATTGGTCAGATTGTACTGAACCAGGTGTTGCTCATTTCTTAATTAGTCCAGCCTCTATTTGAAGCAGGAGTTTGTTGAGCAGCATGATCATGCTTTTTCTACTCATGTAGAAGTCCTACATATGTACATATTGACCTGTATTGGAGCCGCGATAAGATTTTTTTTTTTAATTAAAGAGTCTAAGTGAAGTTGAGCATCATAGGAGCTGGAGGATGTTGCTGCTACATTTAGCAAAGAAACGCAGCAGCCTGATCCTGTTCTCGTGGGGAATCCCTGCAGAAAAACATGATTCTTTAAAGACTGCATTTCACAGGAGGAGGTGCGGCTTGTACCAGCCTGTAGTGAATCATCCTTAAGACGACTGATCCAGCAGGCAAATGTTCTGCACCGAAGCGTGGCTCAAAACTGGGTTTCTGACCAGTTTTCTGAGTAACGAGTGAAAGTTTGCAGCTTGGCACCGCTCACTGTTTTTAAATCGCTGTTGTTTTTGTTTTCTCCAGGAAGAGGAGCTTGAGAGGGAGAAGCAGCAGCAGGTTGTTTTGCTGCAGGAGTTGGAAGACCAGAAGGCCAAACTGGAGCAGATGCTGCTTGAAGCTCAGCAGGAAAGAGAAGATCTGAAGGCTGCTGTGAACCAGGAAGAACCCGTTTACCAACCAGAAGTACCTGTACAGGACGAGGAGGTCAGCTCTGTCAGCGCTGGTGTAGCTGCTGAGGTAAAACCTATTCCTAAGTAGTTCAGATTTCTAGGTGGCTTCTCATTTATACTTGTGATCATCAGTCTAAGTTAATAATTGGTGCCGACCTGACGACAGATTTTCATTTGAGTTGCTCAGTTTTCAGTTTTTGCTGTTTTCTTGACTCATACTTTAAGATGTCTAATGTAAAGTGTATTCGGTGTTGTATGAATAATTCGTGGTTCTGTCTGTCAGCTGCTCCCTCCTGCAGGTGACGATGACCACACCAGAAGGATCAGAGAATACCAGCAGCGGCTGTTGGAACAAAACAGGTGTGTTAAAGCCTGAACACAAACTCATTTACTTGTGATTTGTCAGCCTGTGTTATATGCAGTTATTCTCAACCACAGAACACAAATTATAGCTTAAAGTTGTGACAATTCATTAAAATCACTTTATTCTACATGTCTCATTTTAAAATTTGCCTAAAGTAAACTGTTTGCTTTGTCGAGGTTCTGTAAAAAAAAAAAACATAAAATTGCACATTTCATGAGGCAACCGTGAAGCCGTCAGTGACTCCACTGTGACCAACAGTCAGTTGACAATCAGGGACTTTTCAGCTGAGCTGGAATGAACTGCAGGTTGTGTTTACACATAGCAGATAGGAGGGAAGAAGTCAGATAAATTAAAAATGTAAATAGTTTTCCTCCCTGTTTTGATATCACCTTTGGGCAGTTGAAAAATGTTGTAGATGAGATTCCATGTGTTTTACGCTTTTGGATTATAACTTCTACTCTTTTTTTATTTTTTATAATTTATATATTTATTCTAACGATTTATGACCTAACTGTGTCAGACTGCACATTTCTGAGTCCTCCCTCCTTCTAGTCATGGTTGTGCTGTTTCCAGTGACAAATGAGCCCACAGTGAGGGGAAAAACATGTGAGAGGAGCCAAAAATCACGGTTTCAGAGTGTTAAGTATATGTATCACACAGCTTCCCCAAAGAAAGCAGCTGTAGAGGGTCTAAGGGTGGAGATGGAGGTGGGGGTGTATGCCATCTAGACTGTCATGACCCTTGAGGCAACTTTGCAATATTTCGAAACTAAAATCAATCTTGAACCACCTTTTTTACTTCAGAATTCACCAGAGGTCAGTGGAAGTTGCTCGCCAGCGCCTGGAGGAATACCAGCGAGCTCTACGACTCCGTTACAACACGACCACCGCATCGCTTCAGCTTCCCGTCGCACCTCCAGGTCTTGTTCATCCACCTCTTCACAGTGCTTCACCTGTACATCCCCCAGCTCCTCCACAAATCCCTGCAGCTCCCGCATACATTCATGATAAACCACAAACCTCTCTGGAGGCTAACAGAAGAGAGCCTGACATGTCTGCTTCCCATCTCCACCGCCCTGGTTCCAGTTTGAGCGTCGGCTCCAAGTTGCTGCCGGTTGAAGTGGAGCCATTTAGTCACAGGAAGCAGAGACCAGAAGTCACTGCCTGGCTAACTGACAACATAATGGAGAGAGTAACGGAGCACCTTCCAGAGAGACTGAATCCCCCCTCAGTGACCAATGAGCCTTTTAAACTCTTCACAACACGTCTGCCAACCAGCATCCCACTCCAGCCAGCCTCTGATCCCATTCAAACCGTTAACCCGAGCATCAGAGACTGTGCATCTCCGGTTTCAGGCCCAGCAGCGGTTCAGCGTGGCTCTTTAGCACAGATCTCCCAGCAGACTGAGGACGACGTGGAGACGCAGAGACGAGAGCTGCAGGAAGTCCAGAGGCGGGTGTTGAAGCAGAGGGAGGCAGTGATGCTGCAGCAGAAACAGCAAGAAGAGGAGAGGCAGCGCCACCAAGTGGAGATGGAGCAGATGAGGAGACAGAAGGAGGCGCTGCAGGCTCTGATTCAAACCGATGATGAAGTAAGTGAGGGGACTGACACTGCTGTGCTGTTTTTGTTACTGTGCAGTAAATAAATCAGTTTCTTAGCATACATATGTGTAAAGATAAAGACAACACAGCACTATGAATCAGCTCTCAACTGAGCCTCCTGATGTGTTTTCTGACCCACAGCCAGTTTCAGAAGCCGCCAGTGACGAGTTGGTTTCAGAGAACATCCATCAGAGTCGCCTCAGGTTACTTGTGTCCCTGCTGAGAGCGATAGAAGAGTCCAACGGAGGAACTTTATCACACCTGGAAGATTCTCAGGAGAAAGAAGAGTCTCCTCAACAGCTGCCATCTGACGGTGGTGAGACAGGTAGGTCACATGTTCCAGTACTAATCACGTACTTGCACCATTATTGACACAAATAATTCTGAATAGAAACTTTTTCACATTTAATTCATTGATCCTTTCAGTTTGTTTTTTTTGGTCATCTCTGGAGGCTCATATAAACATGGTCAAAACCCCACAGTTTTAATTTAATTTAAGGTAACTGACAAAGGTAATCAGCATGCACTGTCCTTTTTTCATATTTAATAAAACAAAACTGCTTTTGATTTCTGACACTGTGCAGTTTGTATATTGTAGTGTTGCAGCAGCAATTTACAAAACACACATTAAAACACTATTTAAAAATATATATACTAAAGTTTTTTAAATTCTTGTTTTTTTTTTTGTAAACCAGCATGTATTTCTGAAATCGAGCAGTGCACGTTTCCTGGGATGATCAATACAGAACTCTATCTACATCACAGCTGATCCTCGATTATGTTTCACAGTACAGATGCTGTTCTGTTCTTTTTTTCTTCTGTGAACAGCCGATGTGACCAAAAAGCTCTCGTTTTATTACGTCTGTTGACAGAAGCTTTGTATTCTGTCAACATACATGTTGTCAAACCGCAGTTTGGATTATTTTTTTGTGTGTTTCTCTGAGTTTCCTTCCATGGACTCAAGTTTCAGAAAGAGAATCATTCAGAAAGTGATGTGTGGTGTGAACAGACACTGTGTTTGATCTTGGAAGTTAACTTGTGTGTGTTTTTAAATTCCTCTTTCACCGTTAAAACTATTCTTCTCTTCGGTCTTGGATCAGTTTTCCATTTTGCAGCTGCGGTCACAGAAGCTTCAGGCTGCTGTAGCGCTCTCCTCTGACCATTCTTAGCTGTTATTTATTTCCTATTTCATCGGACTACTCTCCTCTTGTTATATCCGTTTGTTTAATGAGCAGGAACTCGGCTCTCTTCAGTGTTTTTGTTTCATTGCAGTAAAACAGCTAAAGAATAACGGCTTTGTTTGTTTGTTTCCTGTTGAACTCTAACTCAAAGCATTGTTTAAATGCTCTAATGGCTTTAAAATGCAGTTCTGTACTTCTGAATCAGTGCTGCTGTTACGCTTCTATTAAATTCTTTTACCTTTTGAAATCACCATTAAACTTGATTTTTGTCAAAGTTTAAATCATTATTTTTCCTTTTCAGCTCCCACTGCTCAGATCAGTGCTCCGGCTCTACCCGTCCCAGCTTCAGCCTTCCCTTCAGGACTCCTCCATCCTCCTCGAGCAGCGAAGCCGCCGGTCACTCGGGTCCGACTGGGCTTCATAGACATGATGACGGAACAACATGAGCTCAGTGCCATCCAGGAGGTGGAGAGTCCAGTCGACACCAGCCAAGTCGCAGGTTCGCTCAGCCGTAGAAATCTATGAATACCAGACTGTTGTCGTCACACCGGAGGAACACCAGTTGATGTGTTTAATGTCTCCAGGTCTGGAGGATAGCGTGGCGGCTCCGTCACAGGCTGCCGGCTGGAACCTGCAGCAGGAATCAGAAACGCATTTGGTGTCTGACAGAACTCTGCAGACGTCTTCTGTGTCCAGCAGGAAACACCAGACTGCTGACACACCGACCAGCTCAGGCAGATCCAACCGTCTCATGTGGAGAGACCGGCTGCTGATGGAGGCAGGGACATCTCCAGAATCCTCAGACTCTGGTATGTACAAGGCAGCTGAAGACTTATAGATACAGACGGGAAGTTAATGGTAGACTGAAAAAAAGAGTAGAATAGAATATCCTTTATTAGTCCCACAAGGGGAGATTTGCAGCGTCACAGCAGCAAAGTGACGGTGACGGAAAACAAGCAACTATAATTTAAGGCGAGGTGTGTTTATATACAATAAATACACAATATAAGAAGAACAGAGGAACACAAGGATGCTAAGAACAGAAAGTTAAGAAAATTTACATGAATGAATTGTACTTTATTGCACATGACAGCTGGCTAACTGTCATGATGTGACTGATTGTGTGGTCTGTTGGGAACAGTGCTGATTATAAAGTCTGATTTAATAGAATATAATTCCCTTGTCATTAAACAGTGAAATTAAGCAGCAGTTCTGTCACTGCATTTACAAACTCAGGCAACATTTTTAAAAGTACAGAAGCAGATGTGCAATTTTTAAATGTAAAAATCTGCAGTGTTTCAATGAAAACTGTGGGAAAGCTTATTAAGTGCATTAAGAACTAAATGTAACATCAGTGTAAATGATGATGCAGAACAAGTAAGTAATTGCTTCAAGTAGCGCAAAAAAAAAAATTTACATACGTGATGCAAAAGTGTCTGTTTCCAGATTCTGTGAATGTAAATGAACATGAATGTCTTTTTAATTAGTACCACACAGTTGGATAAAGTTTATCTAAATGAAGATAAAGTCCTATAAATGCCACTGTTTTCAACGATGTGCTGAACTCACTTGAATCCTCTCAAATAAGCGTTGCTGCAGCTTCTATTTTAGGAACATCAACGTGAAGTTTCCAACTTTTCTAACTTATTAATAAGTTTTGCTTGACCTAAAATATAAAACATGATCTTGTCATTAGACTCAGAAGCACGATGCCATAGAATTAGAAAACTAAATTATCATACTTTTGCTGAAATTCAAATCACAGCTTAACGGGACAAAATGTATTTATAAGTTTATAAAATCCACTAAAGTAAACTGCCTTCACAAAAGTAGAAATATTTTTATCCAAAACTGCTCTTTGCTTTAACTACAACTCATATGGATTGTTTTTACAGTGGAGTATTAGATAAATTGTGTTATTTCCTGTTTTATTTTCCAGATTCGGTCCTGAGAATAATGTCGCCGCTTTCCTCTGACTCTGGACGAGGAGCTGACGTCTCCGGTGCTGCGGTCACCAGCTACAGATCTCCAGCTGAGGTAACCAGGCCAGTGGAGGTGTATTAAAGCTCTTGTTTCTTCTCCTGGAACAAGTAATCTATCAGGAGTCGAGCGTTCCTGCACTTTGAATCCCCTCTGAGGTTCACATGTTGTGGATCGATGATGAAAAATAGCCAAATCTGAGAGCTGTGGCCACATCTGCCTCAGCCTTTGATTATGCTTGAGAAGCTTTTGTCTGTCTGTGTTCCGTTTGTGTGCCTGTGTAGAGTGAGTGTGTTTTTAAGAGTGTGAGTTTGTCTTTTTGTGTGTGTTTTGTTTCTGTGTACTGAGCGATGATGTAAATCTACTGAACCTGAAGTGTATTTAATAAAAAGTACATTTCATGATGGTTTCTACACTTGAACTGAGCTCAGTGGGTCTTTTATCATGTCGATGTTGTTAATTAATACACGTTTAGGTTATTTCACTGCAGACATGTGAAATGTTTTACCAAAATGTAACAGTATGAGTTTCAATCCTATTAAAAACATATATAATATAAAATTGATTGGGATTGGAGTAGCTTGTATGAACAACTTTTATTTACACATTCTTTGTTCAAAACTGGGTCAAGAGAGTTTGTGTTGAGTTTGTTTTTTATCTCCGTAACACTTTTGTTCTGTGTCAGTCTCCACGTCGGCCTCCTGAGTCCGACTGCTTCTCCTCCACCACCATCTCCACCGGCAGCTACGTCACCACCGACCCCGAGCAAAACGCAGACACTGGTGAGTTACAGAAATGAGCGTTGGAGGACACTTCTCTTGTTTTTGTCGAGTTTGTCCCCGGTTCTCATTTCATCCAGGGCTGCAACTAACAATTAGTTTCATAAACCTGTTGATTAAGTTCTTGATTAATTATTCAGTCTATAAAATTTTAGGAAATGGTTAAAAATGTCTGTCAGTTTTTACCAAAAGCCTGAGATGACAAATGTCTTGTTTTCAAAGATATTCAGCTCACCGTCATAGAGGAGGAAAGAAACCAGAAAATAGTCACATTTAAGAAGTTGCAGTCACAAAATTCAGATTTTTCTCGTAGTCCATGAGGACAAACGTCTTGTTTCGTCCTCAGTAATAATAATAATAATGTTAATGCACTTCTGTAGCACCTTTCAAAAACAAAGTGCTGTACAAAACATTGAAATATAGAAAACATTAGATAAAATGTAAAATACAGTGCAACCTTCAAAAGACAAATATAGCAAAACGCCAGAAAAAGAACAAAGTTATATAAATGTTTGTCTGTACAGGTGGTTTTTAAGAAGCTTTTTGAACTGAGGCTCTAACTGAGCCGTTCTGACAGTCACGACCCAAAGATACTCAGTTTATGGTCATGAGAGGAAAGAAACCAGGACATTGAACTTTACTGAGGCTGCATTAAGAAAATTGATGAATACTCAAATTGAAATGGCTCCAACTGAATAATCAGTTCCCAAAATAATGGGAGAACAATTTAATAAGTCACAACTAATCATATAATCGTTGCAGCTCTAATATGGCCGACTGTGCTGTGATTCTTCATCCAGCTGAAAACTAACCTGTGCAGCTTTTATTTTAAAAAATCGCTCAGAAACTGGAGAGAAAAAAGCAAATCTGATTGGGTGAAATGTGTTTCTACCTTTGATCCCTGGATGGGCTCACCTCTGTTTCTTCTCCCTCTGCTTCCTCAGATAAATCTCCGTCTCTCAAACCTGCTGCAGAACAACGAAGTGACGTCTGGTCTCCATCCAGTCAAAGTGTGAAGGAAAGTCCTGCTGCAGGTTCTCCTGCTCTGGATGGAGACTCTGTGTTCGACGACGGCAGCATCCAGCGTATCATAGACCGATACATGAAGGAGCTGAACATCTCCCTCAGCACTGCAGGCAGAACCACAGGTACACACTGTTTACACTTATTACAGGAAAAACCCTGTTCTTCAGCTTTAGTGATTACAGATACATCTGAGCCCTGACGTTGGTTTGGATCTCTGCTTGGTTAAAGTAGCTTCACTGTTAAAACTGACATCTTTAAGGTGAACTAATGTCTTACAACCGCATAAAAAAAAAAAAAGAAAAAAGAAAAGGTCTTTTATTTAAATCAGTGACCACTTAAGGATTGGTGAACATTTAGGGCTGGAGACGACCAAAGAAAATCTCAGTCGACTGAAATCATATCTACTCTTAAACCAAATTAAATGGTTGCAGGTGGAAAAAAAAAGCTCTTCGCATTATCTCTACATTCACCAAATCTGCAACAGTGCGCTGAGTTAACGCTACCTGCTGTCTGATTCGCCTAAATGAGATCTAAACCAACATAAAAAGCTGGTAAATAATCTGAATCTGGTTATTTTATACTGAACTGATAATAGACTCCGAGGAGACCACCTGCATATATTCATATGATTTCTAACAATAGAACTACTGTAGAATATAATGTAGACAAAGTTAGCTGCCGTTTTAAGCTGATCTGACATGTTGGTTGTTCAACTGTGATTCACAAACTGCTGTTTACAAAGTTTGCTCTCCACTTTTTGGCCAAAATGCAGAAATATCAACAACTTCTTTTGGTGTCAGTTAGTTTGGATCAGACTCTTGAGTAAATGTTCACTAAATATGAAGTCAGATCCAGCAGTCTTCATTAGGTTGTGAAAACTCAGGCGTTCCCAGGTCTGTTCCTTTTACTGCTAATTGTAATGAATTAATCCTGGAAGCCCGTTGATGAAGAGCTTTTCTTTTTATGAAAGAAATGCCACCAAATGTCCGACAGCATATTGATCATTAGTCAACCTGGAAGCTGCAAACATCCAGAGATGTTCAGACGTGAGAATACTCAAGTTAGTATTTTGCTTTTTTCCCCTCTTTCCTCTGCAGACAGTGAAGGCTCATATGTGGAGGAAGCTGGTTCTTCAGTTTCTCAGCCGTCTTTGGTTCGAGTCTCGGGATGGGAGGATGGAAGCTCTACGAGTCGACAGTTTCTGCCCTCAGACACTGCAGGAGCTCAGAGCAGCAACCTGGTAGGTGACTCACTTATTTTATGGCGGCTCAGATAAAGTTTTAACCGATTTAATATTAGACGACAAACACCAGACCTACAGTCTGAGTTAAAGGTGTGAACCTGTGAGCAGCATTATCTCCATCACACTTGGGGAAGCCAAGTCACTGTTTTTTATGCTCACTTGACTGTAGCACATATTCAGGCTGAGATCTTGCTGTATTAAGTATGGAGATTAACCTGACTAATGTAGTAATAATAAAGCTACAGTAAATTTATTTATGCAAACTTAAGTCCTTGAATCAATTTTCAAGTCCTAAAAATGCTAACAACATAGTTTTCTTGCATTTTAAAATCTTTGCAAACTGGAGACTGCAGACAAGAT